ATATATATATATATATATATATATATATATATATATATATATATATATACACACACACGAGAGTTAAGGGTACTTGTTGATGGCATTAAAAAGCATTACATTGTTTACATCATTCCTGTATAAACCCTGATTAAGAGTTTTAGATAAGAACACCTTGAGATCAATTTTAAAATTAACAGATAGCTAACACCGAGACTATAGAGGGATGTCGGCTCACTTTCTGGATCAACATTCAGGTTATTGCTGTTGGATGCAGAGGAATCTGTAATAGAGCCAGAGGTCATTTAGAACAGAAAGTGAAAAATTACAGTGATCTACTCCTCAAGTTCTAAATGACAGTAGAAACCATCACAATCAATCACAATGTTATTCAGATGATAAAAAGCATCTTTTATTAGTTTATATCATTTTTAAGACTTTTGTTTCATGAAGTTTCAGAAGATAGGTCCTTTGCCAGTGTTAGAAAATGTCTCGTGTATGACTGAATCTCCATGCAGTTTATTCCTTTTGCCATTCACAGTAGTTATGATGACTGTTCTATTTAGGAACACTTCTTATGATCATGTTCCCTTTAAAACAATTAATTTATATCTGAATTAAAACAACCTGCAGCAGTAGTAGCAGTAGCAATTGCGGTTAGAGAAATTAACTACTAAGACTGAACAAATGGGTTTAAGGAGGGAAATAATGTGATCATCTATTCATTTAAACTCATTAAGCATTTGACCTTTTGAACTCTGTCTAATCACCACCTGCACTCAGTGGCTTGAAGTCAAATGAGGGGATTTGGCTTTTGCTGTGACTGGTATCCGTAGACAGAACACTCCTTTCTTTCAACCTATGGTATTTTATATTCATAGTGAAATAAAAATAAAGCAAGGAAAGGAAAGTTACTGTATTTATTTTGATATAAACTGCAGGAAAAGTGGTTGTCAGCTTAAAATCAGCAGTGCTAAAGCTAAACTACTTGACAGAATAAGACAAAGAACGGCTGACAAATATTGAGATCTCAGATTTATTGGTTTTATTTTCTTACTCAACCCAGGGTGGTTGTTTGACAGGTTAGGCCTGAAAGTTAAAGCATAATTGATAGCATGATTTAAAGCAGGGATCCACAAAGATGGTTCTCACAATCACTGTGATGTGATCTCTGAGGTAGGTATATCCATCCATCCATCCATCCATCCATCCATCCATCCATCCAT